GTGTGTGTGTGTGTGTGTGTGTGTGTGTGTGTGTGTGTGCGTGTGTGTGCGTGTGTATGCTTCCTTTTGTTTGTTTTTTTTGTGTGTGATTATTTAGTGTCTGTGTTTTCATGGGTATAGTTAACATTTTTGGGTTGGAGTTTTCCTTCTAATACCTTCTGCAGGGCTGTATTTGTGGATAAATAATGTCTAAATTTGACTTTATCATGGAATATCTTATTTTCTCCATGTTGATTGAAAGTTTTCTTGGGTATAGCAATCTTGACTGTTATCTGTGGTCTCTTATGGTCTGCAGCATATGTTGCTAAGACAGAAAGGCAACCCACTGACTGGGAGAAAATCTTCACCAAACCCGCAACAGACAAAGGTCTGATCTCCAAAATATATAAAGAACTCAAGAAACTAGACTGTAAAAGGCTACCCAATTATAAAATGGGGCACTGAGCTGAACAGAGAATTCTCAACAGAAGAAGTTCAAATGGCCAAAAGACACTTAAGGTCATGCTCAACCTCCTTAGCGATCAGGGAAATGCAAATCAAAACAACAAGATATCATCTTACACTTGTCAGAATGGCTAAAATCAAAAGTACCAATGATAGCCTTTGCTGGAGAGGATGTGGAGTAAGAGGTACCCTCATCCATTGCTTGTGGGAATGCAAACTTGTACAACCACTTTGGAAATCAGTGTGGCGGTTCTTCACGAAATTCGGGATCCAGCAATTCCACTCTTGGGAATATACCCAAGAGATGCCCTATCATAGTACAAAAGCATTTGTTCAACTATGTTCATAGCAGCATTATTTGCAATAGCCAGAACCTGGAAACAACATAGATTCCCCTCAATGGAAAAATGGATAAAGAAAGTGTGGAATATATATGCATTAGAGTACTACTCAGTGGTAAAAAAACAATGACTTCTTGAACTTTGCATGCAAATTGATGGAAATAGAAAACACTGTCCTGAGTGAGGTAACCCAGACCCAAAAAGATGAACATGGGATGTACTCAC